ATGGGCGCGGAAGTAACCAAATTGTGGGCAACAAAATTTTTTTCTTAAACAAATGAGGCCTTTGAATGGTTTTCTCGGGGTGCTGCCCACTCAGATGACTGCCGATTTTATTCCGAAGTAAAGTGATGAATTCATCTTTCATCCATTGTGACATATCGCTACAAAACTCAGATTTATTCCGAATAAATATGCCCACACTGCGCCGAGATTCATTAATTCATACATAATGAATGTTCATTGCCAAAAGCATTTATTCTTAAACAATTAAAAAACCAATATTTCCTACTTCTTAAGGGACAAACTCACATAAATTAGCAATGTTTCGAAAGGTTGTTAAAACCCCCGTCCATTGTGACGTCAGACTTGGATAGTCCATTTATTCTCAATTTGTCCCATTCTTCTTCTTCTTCTTAACGTACCCTATCAAGTCCCCTTGACGTTGGCGATTAACATGGCGAAACTGTCTCTGTCTCGAGCTATTCTAAAGAGTTGCTCAGCTTTCCTTACTCCTGTCCACTCTCTGATATTCTTCAACCAAGAGGCCTGCTTTCTACCAATTCCTCTGCGTCCTTCGATTTTACCCATTATAATAAGTTAAAGAATATTATATCGGTCTCCCCTTACTACGTGTCCCAAAAAGGCCATCTTTCTACATTGGATGTTATCAAGCAACTCGCGAGCAGAATTTGCTCTCTCAAGGACTGCCGCGTTTGTCAGCATAGCCGTCCATGGAATTTTTAGTATACGTCTGTGCAGTCACATTTCAAAGGCCTCCAGACGATTAATGGTGGATATTTTTAATGTCCATGCTTCGACACCGTATAAGAGGACTGACCAAATGTAGCATTTAACCATACGCTTGCGAAGTTGAAGGTTCAAGTTATCATTACAGAAGAATGATCTCATTTTTAAAGATGTCGTGCGGGCTATCTCGATTCTACATTTTATCTCTTGATCTGGATCTAGTTGTTCAGTAATATGGCAACCAAGATATTTAAAACTGGTCACTCTTTGCATTATATGACAATCAACATATAATCGTGCATCTTGATGTGCTAAACAGCTAAACACCAGATGTTTTGTTTTTGAACAGTTTATGTTTAGGCCAAACTCTCTTCCCATTGTATCAATGGCATTTAAAAGGCATTGTAATCCATTCATGTCATCACTTAAAATAACTGTATCGTCTGCATATCTGATTGTATTTATCAGAATTCCATTAACTTTCACGCCCCATTCCAAATTATGCAGCGCTCCTTTAAATATTATATCTGAATATAAATTAAATAACAGTGGCGATAATATACAACCCTGTCTGACACCTCTTTGTATTTTACATATTTCTGTTGATTTTCCGTTTATGCATAACTTTTCTATGAATCGAATGTATTGACTATCAACTCCTTTATCTTTTAATATTGTAATTAATTTGTGATGCTGTACTCAAATAAAGGCCTTTTCATAGTCAATAAATACAGCAAAGACGTCTTTCCTGTGATCTCGACATTTCTGCAGTAATACATTTAGTGCAAAGAGGGCGTCCCGAGTTCCCAGTTTATTTCTGAAGCCAAATTGTGTTTCATCCTGAACTTCTTCACATTTATCTCTGATTCTACTATGGATGATGCGTAGAAATATTTTCAAAGTGTGGCTCATAAGGCTTATCATTCTATAATCGCTACAGTTTTTCGGACGTTATTTTTTTGCTAGTGTTATGAATTCGGACTTTAACCAATCTTCAGGGATATCACCAGTCGAATAAACATCATTGAAAAGTATGACCAGTATTCCAATGTTCTCCTCATTTATAAGCTTTAACATCTCTGTTGGTATGTTATCAGGGCCAACGGCTTTCTTGTTCTTTGCTAACTTTATAGCATGCAGTCCCATTATAATTCTTTAAAAACATCTTTAGTGTGAAAGTGAAGAGTTTATGGAATATTTTATCCCCATTTCTTACTCCTCTTTCTATCGTAACTTCTTCTGTCCATGTAGATGTATTCTTAAAATTGTTTTACTAGGGATCTTTTAATTAGATTGATATATTGTTGACGTATAATGGCCCTTCGCATGGTAGAAATTACTGCGTTTGTTTCAGTAATATCAAAGCCTTCTTGAAATCATTTGACTTTCCTTTTTTTGGTTTGATTGTGTGTAGGTGTTCGTACTGTAATGTTTCTTGAATACTGCTTGCCCCTTTGGTTTTTGTAACTCAAATTTCTCTTCCAGGCCATTTATTTTATTCTCATGAAAAGCTTATATGTTTGGACAGGAATATTATATGAACATTATGGTATACATAATATGGTACTCTATCTATATATTGATTTAAGGTGCTATAATTATGAACTCCGATTTGTAGTGCTGTTGGAGACATTAGAGATCTTTTAGAGGATACACTAATAGTTGTACATTATACTGGTTATGTAGAATGGAATCCTGCGATTAAAATGAAAGCATTCTGCGAGGGACAAGATCTTGAGACTTGGCCCAAGGAAACTCACAAATGTAGTTTAATTATGGGATTTATGAGAGAATTTAACCATATGCGAATATCGTTTAATAGAAATGACAGCTCTTTGGTAAGTATTTAAGGCAACGTAGATATATATTTTTAATCAAAACAAATAAAAAATGTTTTGTGTACAGATTTAATTTTAATTAACAGCTTTTTAGAAATAACATATAAATCCATAGAATCAAACAAAAAGTTACTTAACCAACAACTAGAGTGTAATTATTAGTATATATCAATAAAACCATAAGTTTTACTCCACAAGTTCAACATTTTATTGTATTTACCATCGTCCATCGAGAAGAATCGGACAAAGGGGCATCACAAAACAATTCGATCCTTATAACAACATTCGAATCTGTCCCCCAGTTAATCTATGTTCCGTAAATGTAGAAACCTTCCTTAAGTTGTTCTTCAGTCAGCATTAAGTCCAATTCCAATTCCAGTCACCATAAGTCACCGTGTGGAAAACTTTATTCTAAGTTTTATGAAAAAAAAGTTATTCCTTATAAGAAGTTCTGAATAATTTAAAACCAAGACTACAATCATCAGATATTCAAATGTTTTAATCATATACGCGATTTGTCACAAAATATGAATTATATGTATATCCACAATTTATATTTTTTGACAAACAAAATTTATTATTTTTGATGATTGTATTTAAGGTTTTAAAACATGCACAATTTTTTATGAAAAATTACTTTTTTTTAAAGCTAGAGAGAAAAAGTTTTCCATATGGTGCCGACTTAAAAGGATACCCTGTATAATGAATGTAGACAAATAACTGAAAGTGGCTATTTATAATAGAAAAGCTTAAAAAAAAAAATAAAAAAATAAGGTATCATATCCTAGCGATGTAATATTAGTTATTAGTTAGTGACTGTCAAAAATTCTATTGTTGCTCATGCCCGAAGACCCAGAAGAGATAATCGTACCTACATCTCCTCAAGAAATAAACGAACTAATTAAAAATAGCTCACCAAGAAAAGCACCGGGTCTAGATGAAATTTCAAATAAAACTTCGGAGTATCTACCAGCAGAAGCAGTAGTATTTTTTACCAACATAACGAACGCAATCCTTAGATAATGGTTCTTTCCAAATCGATGGAAGAAAGCCAACGTTATCATGATTCCGAAGGCAGGAAAGAATACCATGTTTCGGACAAAAGTACAGGCTGATAAGCTTACTACTAGCAGTCAGCAAGATTGTAGAAGGTGTAAGACTAAGCAGATTATAAGATGAAACATACGAAATAGGACTCATCCCAGAAGCTCAGTTCGGATTTACAGCAGAACACTCCAGCCAATTTCAAGTACTTAGACTGAAAGAATACATAACAGCTGGATTTATGAAAAGCAGTACACATAAGTACTATCCAAATACGGAGCTCTGGAGGCTGGAGGGCCACAGGGAGCAGTCCTATCACCCTTATTGTACATAATATACACCGCAAATGTTCCAACAGCAGGAACACTACTCAGCGTAATTGCGGTCAAACACAGAAACTTAGAAGTAGCGGGCAACAATCTACAGGCAACATTGGATAACATTGAAGAATGGTGTATCCAATGAAAAATAGCAATGAATCCAGAGAAGACACAAGCAATCATATTCCAAAAGAGAAACCCCAGAGGAACTGTTAATGCAAGATAATCCCATAGAATGAGAAAGGGAAGCGAAATACCTAGGAGTCATTATGAACCAAGGCTTAAGTGTGGACACAACCATTCAGAAAACAGCAACATCCAGAGCAGTAATAAGAGGACTTGCAGGTAGAAAAAGCGCAATTCAATAAAAAGAAAATACAAGCAGCCCACAATAAAATCCTCAGAGAAGCGGAAAATGTACCCAGATACGTCGCTGAACGCTTTCTGTTTAGAGAACTGCAAGAATTAAGGGTGACAGATAAAATGGCAGAAAAGACCAGAGCTAGGTTTGCAGAATAAAGAATCACATAAGCCCGATACAGCAATAGATAATAAGATGTGATGCATTTCATCGACGAATCCCTCAACTAATCATTCAGGGAAAGATTGAAGGCAAGAGAGGAGTATACCGCAAACAAATGTCGTGGCTACGGAACATAAAAAAACTGGACAGCACTTTAAGTGATTACTGCTATGATAGGTGGACACCCCTGCTATAAAATACATTATCTGGGTCCTGCCAGAAGGACAAAATAAGACATTCTGTACTACCGAAAAGCCTTCTGGACGTTCTCTCATTAATAATATAAACAAATGTGACTAAAAGCAGATTCTATTTTATTTCTATTTTATTTATAGTATATATTATATTGGTAAGTCCCTATTCACAATTTTTTGTGTATCTTTATTTTGAAGAATATACCAACATAAATATATAAAAACATGCATGTTTTTTTAAATATAGCAGGTATTTAAATATTTTAATTTAAAGATATAAATAAACGAAATGTAAACAAAACATCTAAGAAAAAATGTAGAAAGAAGACCACATCGTAAAAATTATTTAAAATATCCGAATTTATTTGTTAATGCCTCATAAAATATAAACACTATTATTGTATTCGGTATGATTCTAACGGAAGACGGAAGAATCCCCTTGAAAAAAGCAAACGGTCCTTCTTTGGCTGTAAAAATAACACAGTCCAAAATCCCTTTAAATTCGCCCGGTCTGGCATTCATTTGCCTGGTCTTGATGACATCTAAAGGCTGTGACAGTAAAGTAGCTGCTATACCTGCTATAAAACTGCATGTGAAATAAGTCACTGTATTATCTATAAATAATCCTGTTCGTAACAGTTGAGTTTTGATCTCATCGTACACGGATAACTGTCCAACGGTGATCATTACTGCTCTTGAACATGCTGTCGTGGATCCTCGAAACAACTGGTTAATTCCTTCTTCTTTATATACTCTAATAAAACCATCTATAACATGTTTGTAATTCCTTCGCTTTTCTGGAGGCAGCTTTATATCATTTTGCATTCTAACATTTACTACGTCACTGGGGACACCAGTCCAACCCCCTATTGCACCGCCCACTGATGCTACTAAAACTTTCGTGGCGAAGTTTCCCATATCGAAATGAGTTTTAGCAATGTCATACAAAGCAAACCTTGTAGTTGAATAGGTAAGCTGCCTACATACAGCAGCTGAAAGACCTGAGTAAAGAGCCAATATTCCCTGGTTCTCTATTATGTTCACTGTCATAGTTGCGATGGAGAGTTGGCGTCCAACTTGAGTTTGTAAATGGACTTTCAGCAAATCCAAGGGATGCGTGACACATACGGCTGCGGAAGCTGCTAGCCCTCCAAAGTACCATCTTGGATGCCTTTTAATTTCGTCGGACATAAGTTGCAGTAAAAATAATTTGAAGTTTTTATGTCTATATGACAATTAAGGCACTCAAAATCTTCGTTTAAGTCAATATACTTCTATAACCTCTTTTTTAAGTTAAACAGCCAGCAAATCTTTTTATTGATCAGATTTAAAATATTTTAAACGGTTCATTGTCAAAGTGACAGAAATTAGTTCCAAAAAATTTAAACAAAATCTTCTTCTTTTTAGTTTAGGTATTAGTGTTTTTTGGCCTGCAACTCTATTTTTGCCAAAGAATTTCAATAATGGACAATTTTTTTTTGGACAAGTATACTATTTTGCTTTATTCCATGCAGCTGAAGTAATAATACCCACATATAGTAACAAAACCAAAGTTGACAAAAAAGATCTTTTTTCTTCTCTATATATCTCTATTATTTGCTTTTTTCCTTTCCAACATTTGTTTCAGTGTGTTTATGTTGTCTATGCATATTCTTCCTGCCGTAAAGCCTGCCTGATTCTTCCCGATTTTGCCTTTTATCTCTTTCTCTATCATTTCTCGCAGTATCTTCTCATACAATCTTCCTATTGATGATATTACGTTTATTCCTTCTGTAGTTTTTGCATCGTTTTCTATCTCCTTTCTTAAATATAGATGCCATTCATGCCTCCGTCCATTCCTTTGTGACTTGATATCTATTTATGGCTTTCTGCAATATCCATTTTATCATCTGGTGTCATTTTTTTGAGCCGCACTTTATAAGCTCAAGTGAGATGCCTCTAGGTCCCGTTGTTTTTTTATTTTTGATTGCTTTTTATGACTTTTCTTATTTTGCTATCTGGTATTTCTATTTCTTGTCGTGGGGATCTGCTTCGTCTACGCCTGTTTTTTTTTTCAATGAATTGTGGTCTGTGTTCTGTTAACAGTTCCTTGTAATAGTCCTTTGATTCTTTGTCCTGTATATTTCCCAATTTAATTTTTTCTTTTTTGAGTTTTGTTTGAATTCTTTCAGTACTTTCCATGACTCCGAAGTTTCTGCACCTCCTATGTATATTTCAATATTTAAGCAGGTTCTTTCCCATTCTTCATTCTTTTGTTGTGTTATTTGTTTTTCAATTCTCTATCTTTTTCTCTTTATTCTTTATAAACTTCATCGTTGTTTGTAGCCAGTTCTGTTTCGTATTTCTGTTTGTTAGGTTGCTAATTCCTAACGCCACGACCCCTTGTTTGAAGAACTTTTCCTTCAGCCGCCCATTCTGGATCAGACGTTGTTGATCCTTCCGCTCTCTCGACCATTGTGACTATGAGACCGTTGACCGATTTTGGTGACTCCGTATGGTACTGAAAACATCGTTAGACCTATAAAAGCTAATCAGATGGGCCACTCATGTGGTAAGATCCGAGAAAGACATAGGGTTAAAGATAGTACTTTTGAGATACCAGACGGTAGAAGATCAGTAGGCCGTTCCAAAAAAAAAAAAAAAAAAGATGGAACAACAATTTTAAAGACGATTTATCTAGGATTAGGGTACAACAATGGCAATTCGTAGCGCAATATCGTGGAAGATGAAGGGCTATAGCGGATGCGGCGAAGACTCATCCCAAGTTGTAAAGCTAGTCAAGCAGAAGATCCAATGGACACAATGATAGGAGAACTCTTCTGTAGCTGGTATCTAATTTTCATCATACGCGAAAATACAAAATATGGGTTTTGAATGCCACTTCCTCTTATTGTAATAAAAAATAATAATTTTCAATAAAGCGTTTAGTAAAATCAATAATATTAAAAAATAATATAAGTAGGATTTATTTTTGTTTAATACTTATATTGTAGGAATTTTAAGACAAGCAAATTGCATCAGACTACTTAAACTGGACTACTTTAACGGACACATTACACAACTGTACTTATTTTTGTCTAGAATAGAACAAAATTGTTGTTCGACTGTGTAATCTAATAAATTTGATCCAAACCTTATTTTAATCTTTCTGAGGAACATAACCAAAGTACTTAATCAACTGTTCATAAACGATAAAACCTATTACAGTGTTTGGAATGATCTTAACAGCAGATGGAACCACACCTTTAAAAAAAGCTTTAGGACCACTTTTACTGGTGTGCCTTATACAGTCCCAAACTCCTTTATATGCTCCAGGCTCTGCATCCATCTGTTTAATTTTGATCATATCAAATGGCTGTGAGAGTAAAGAAGCAGCGATTCCTGCAATAAAACTGCAGTTTAAATGAGTAAGGATGTTATCGTTCACCAAGCCTGTTCTAAGTGTTATTAATTTAAGTTCATCATATATTGAGAGTTGTCCCACAGTCAGCGATACTGATCTCAAACACGCCATGGTGGATCCTCTAAAAATTTCGACAAATCCTTCTTTTTGGTATATTTGCACTAGTCCGTGTATAATATTTCGATAATTTCTTTTATATTCTGGATTTCTTCTTATATCACTTTGCATCCTTACATTTACTTTATCTGCAGGAACGCCCACCCAACCTCCAACAAATCCTGACACCGTCCCTGCCATTACTTTTGAAGAAAAGTTGTTCATATCGATATAGTCTTTTGCTTGCTCATAAAGTGCGAATTTGGCGGTTGAGTATGTTAATTGACGAGAAATAGAAGCTGATAGACCAGAGTATAATGCTAGAAATCCTTGAGTTCTGATTATATTTAGAACCATTTGGGTTGTGGATTTTGACTGCACTTTTCGAACTTGTACTAGAACTTTTATTAGTTCTATGGGATGGGTCACCAAAACGGTGGCAGCACCTGCTATACCTCCAAAATACCATCTTGGTAATTTAATGTCGTCTCGTGAATAAACTTCTTGGACTTTGTATTTATGTTCACTAGAATTTTCTGTTAATTTCATACCATTATTTATTACATACTTAAAACGTCAAAATAATAATAACCTTAAAAATGACACCTTTGATGCTATTTTACTTCTTCTTTTTTTACAGAAATGATAGAATAGATTAGAAATATGCTTTATTCGCGATTGAAACTGAATGTAGAGGGCAGGTCGATTGCGGTGTCATGGCCGATATAAATGGTATAAACAAACACATTGTACAATGAAACAAACATAGTAACAACCACCTCTATGGCTCAGTGGTAAGAGCGCCTACCTTTGAAGCTAAAGGTCGTGAGTTCGAATCTCACCTGGGTGGAAATTTTCGTTTATTAAAAATTAATGAATGAAAATAATTTCTATCTTTGTGCGATCGGTACTCACCGGAGGGACCTCAGACGTTCGGATACAATTAGCGTCTCTTAGCAAAGACAATGACGTCGACTTTGCTAAGTATCAAGACAATTACTCTACACACACACACACACACACACACACACACACACACACACACACACACACACACACACATACTACACTAGGTACCTGACTCTACCATACCAATGATCATAAGTTGTCGAGGCATTAACTCAATAAAAAAAAACATAGTAACAGTCGAATATTTAGTTATTGATTTTTGTAATGATAGAACTTTGAGGTAAATTTTGACATGACAACATCTGCGAGCACCATGGCACAGCATTTTCTTCAACCTTGTTCTATTTATTGTTACATCTGCAAGATGTCTCAATATGATATGATACCATCCTATGGTCTGAGCGAGGGTCGGCGCCACGTTATGAGCGCACACTTCTTTGGTTTATAATTTGTTTTTAAACGTAAATTGACCACAATATAATCTTTCTTCAAATTACTGCACAGTTATCATTAGATTTATTCAAAAAAAACTTTAGTTATATTGTACATTCATTACATTTTTAGATATACTACGAAAACTCCGAGTGGTCAATTCTGGAGGCAGACGTTATAACAAATATTTCGGCTGCAGAACAAAATATAACCTCAGAACCAGCGATATTTGAAATTAATTTGACGATTAAAAGGAATTCTATGGCACTTGACTGGATCTTTTTTTCACCCTTTATACGTAAGTCTACATACCCTCTTTATAATATTGAAATCTTACTTGTGATGATTTTGAAACTCTAAATATGATAAAAGGTGATAAGATAATTGCTGTATTTATATTCTAGTTACAGAATAGAGCTAAAAGAATCAGTTGGTTCAACGCGATGCGCCTTGAGTGGTGGAAGACCTTTCTTTGTTCATATACACATTGGAGACTTTTGTTTCACGAGCGCTTGTAGACTTTGATATTTTCCGGACATTGCACTAACACCATCAGCGCATATTTTTGTTTCATTCGTATAATCAAATAAGATACCTAATGCGAGATATATTGCTTTCAGTTCTACTGGTTCGCAGAAAAGTAGTAGTTTCTATAATTGTAATTGCTGCTGGAAAATATAAGCTCTTCACCATAGTGTGGGGCTTTTTACATCTGGCTATTTGATATGAGACTTTATAAGACGCAAGTCAATCTTTTTCATTCACTGTCAAAGTTTTTTTATAAATGATTTTTTGCTTTTCATCTGATTTTAATTTTAACTCAAAAAATTCTCGGAGTTTGTTGATGTACGCACTATGAAGCGTTTCCAAACGCCTTTGAGTTTATTAGGTTTCATGTTGTCGGCTGTTAAAATTTTTGAGCAAATGATACACAAAAGCCACATAGATGTGTGTGAGCTAGGCGCACACACATCGAGTTTGGACGGTCGATAAAAGTTCGATCGAACAAATTCCTTTGGTGGCGCACACACATCGATCGCCAAACGGCACAGCATCGATGTCGTGTAGCGATCGATGATCGAATGTCACTGCATGGACGGCTGCCGTGGTCATTGCCGTCGTTCCAAGTCGTATAGTACCAAATGAACGCGCGTACACACATCGATCTTTATCGACCGACCAGAGGACCAGTTGCGTTTTTTTGACACTGCTCAAGGTACGTCGGTCCATGTTGCTCATTGTGATTTTGTGTACTCCACCTAACAAACCTTTGTGGATTAAAAAACGTCATCGAATAAATATCGTGTAGTGTGCGCGCAAGGCATCAACTTTCGTCGAACTTTTATCGGCCGTCCAAATTCATTGTGTATGCGCCTAGCCTTTCTCCTTCGTTTACTTTAGTAAGAGTAAACACAAGGCTGTTTAGTGGTCAAGTGGTCAGAACCAGAAATGAGGAGATGCAGACGGTCGAGAATGTTCGAAATAACTCGAAACTTCTCGCGAAAAGAGATTTCAGTTCCAGATCGGTGTTGCCACGTATCAATAAATTTACTTATTCTCGGTAATTTGGCAATTAAGGTTTTACTGTAAGTTTAGCGATAAAATACCAAGGTACATTAATACTGCATACATATGTTATTATACGAGAGGGGCGCGGTGAAAACAATTACGGAAAATTCTGTTGTAATTGGTAAAATGTTGAGAAGAGCTGTATTAAACAGTGCTTCAGCTCCTTTACTTTCACCCAAATACTGTAAGATTTAAGTTGTTTCATTTATTCTGTATTCAATAATTTATTAATAAAATATTCTGCATTAATAAATACATAATTTTTTACTTTTAGTGATATCCATTTCTGTACTTTCAAGCTTTTGGATCGCTCCTTTTGGCCAACTGAAGATCTCGGTAGTTTCAGCACAACTTGTGATATGTACTTTAATTTTGCTTAGTTTGTCATTGATTGTGCCCAATCATTCAAAGAAAGTTCCGTACATAGGTTAGTTATTTTTTACATAACAGGTAAAATTTTTTAAAAATAACTAAATATTTTTATTTCATATTTTCAGTTTCGCTTTATAGCTACACACTTTTGGCAATTTTAATTGCCATCATTGTATCAATTGTAGTCGTTAATTTAGCTCGAAGCTATCACAAGAAGGCTGTGCCTCATATTCTGTGTACAATTTTAACTAGCAAGTGTATAAGGATTTTTTTGTGTCTACCTAATGTCAAGGTAAGTAAAAAACTAATGGAGCTTATCATTGGCTCAAAAACACTTTATAGATCTAAGTTTGTTCTATGATTTTCCACCATTCTGATCTGTTCCTTGCTTTGTTTTTCCAGTTGGTGTTTAAAGTTTTTAGATCTTGTTCCATATGATCTACATTTGGGTTTTTTAACCTTGTCCCTGTTGGCGTCTGTCCTAATATTTCATTGGTATCTAATTCTCCTGACATGTCCTATCCAGTGCATATACAAAGAACGATCTTACCATGAGTTTTATATATTTGACATCTGGTTTTTCTTGTTAATGTTTATAAGCATCCTTCTTTTATCCTACGGTGACTAGTGAGCCTAGGTGTGTAAAACATTTACCGCTTTCAATGTTTTAGTCTTCTATCAATAAATCCTGTGAGTCTCTTATTTCTGTTGATTTGCTGACATTTAGGTGTTTTATTTCTATTTCAATAATTTTTAGGACTTCATTTTTTACCGCTGTTTCTGCCGAATTAAATGCTGCTATCATGTATTTTGCTTCTATAAATTTATACATTTATTTGACAGATGCTCGTGGCATATACTGTCAAAAGTCTGAGAATTTTAGGTGTTGAAATATCAACATACTTTGTTGCTAATTTAATTTCCGCTTGTAATCTTGCCTAAGTCCTGATATTATACTAAATGGCATCAATCTTCTGTTTCTATCTTTACCTGTGCATATGAATCTAGCATTGTTAGACAGAGTCTACTTATTTTTATTGAATCATACAGTTGGTTCCTAAAAAAACTACTACGACTTTGATCATTTAGAATAATGTATTTGATTGGTCTGTAGTAATGGGTATTACCAAAGCATGAATTAGAGAAGTACAATGTACCATCAGTGAGAAAATGCTAGAACGAGTGTCAACATACAGATATAAGTATAAGAAAAAACCAAGAATTAACAAAGCCAGAGCAGTTTTTATTTAATTGTTCAAATTATTTAAAACACATGACTTTATATTTTGCAAAAATTAATTTGCAGCATCTACCTCGGAAATATTCAGAGCAGAATCATTCATTATCATTTCTAGAATAATTCAAACATTTGATAAGGGATAAACACAAGAAGAAACAAAAAATAGTTATACTATTTCTTGAAGTTTGTTTCTATATTTTCCTTTTCCTTTTTTTGATGTATTTTTTTCTTTTTCCTCTTTAGCATTCTTTTTCTGCTTGTTGTATCATATTCCGTTATTGTAATCGTCAGTATGTATTATCTTTTCTTGGGCAAAGAGATTGGACACAAAACAATGTAAAAATGTACAAAACTGTTGAGTCTAAGGTGTCCTTTAAAACAAAGTAATTTCTATTATCATTCATGGAAATGACGCACTCACTTTGCACCATGACGGTCCATGGTGCAAAAAGTACTAGTTTTTGCATAAATGACGATTATTAATATCTTGATATTTTTTAGATGGCTGACAATTATGGCAACTTGTATGATACACAGGAAAAGCATCAAACAATATGGGTGCTTATGGGAACTGCTATAGACAGACTTACGTTCATAATTTACTTGATGTTAAGCATTTATGCTGTAATTTTAAAAAACAATTACAAATAAATATATCATTACTTACATGTCTAGTTTTTGAAGTATGTTTCTATGTGACATGATTATTCAAATACATCTTCAGCTGCAGTTGTAACTGGATGTTGGTATTCACTTCGTCTAAATTTAAATGATATCTTTATGTCTTAAAACACAGATTTTTGAACACAACTACTAAACAAGGACTACATACAGCAAATGAAATAGAACTTATCTAAAATTTATTAAAATATAAACATTTTGTAATTTGTCTTTCTATTGTAAATAAATTGATAAAACTTTTCTTATCGGTACTGTTTTTTTTACCCTATAAAATATTTTTATTAATTTTATGATTTTATGAAAATATCCATAGACTTTTTCAATATTTTTATTTCTCCTTGTAAACCTATTTTAGAATTCCATTCAGACATCACTGTCTACGTTAACAGAAAAGGTATTAAATAACCGAAAATCTTTTTATAATTATGATTATGAGTGAACCTATATAACTGAATTAGATCACTAAAATAATCAAAAATACACTACAATAGTAGCATCTCCTGAGGTAAAAAGTTCCAGAAGCAAACAGGGACTCTGATGGGATTTCCGGGTTAAGTACTATTTTGCACAAAATTAGAAAAAGTGCCTTCTCAACTTATAGAATATTGAACGAAGTGACTCACTGATATAAAATGCGTGAACAAAAATAAGACATTTTGCGGCTCATATTCGAAGGCCAAATAGTGAACTGAAGAACAGTGGGAAAAGACGAATATCTTGACTGAAAAACCTAATTTCTATAAAAAAGAGGGAAAATCACTATAGAATGTTACTCCAAGAGTCCAAATTGGAATATATGGGAGAGAAACACAACATGGAGAGGCAAACAAAGATGTAGGAAAATTCTGAGTATGGCAGAAGAACGAGCGGTCAATTTTATGTAAGAAATATCCACTCGCTTGACTCTAGCGCAAAAATTGACGCCAATATAGCCGATTAACAAAATTTGATAAAAATCCAAGGGTACCCCCTTGGAAGATTTTGGTATGCCTCTTGTGTTTTGGTTTACATGTGTTTAAATGATTTACAGAAATACAAAATGCAGTAAGATATATACATTAGTCAAACATGTTCAAAGTAAACTACGTTTAGTAATTACATAATTGAAATCACACTGCTTCTAGAAGATTTTTTTGATCTACTGCTGGACGGTTCTGAGAAAGCTTTTTCCCTCATAGAAACATCTTCTAAACGTTTTTTGATTTTATCTATCGTGTTTTTGATTTCCTTTTTCTCTGGTATGACAAGATTATCTGAAAGCTTAAGCTCTTCGAATTCGGTAAGATCTAAAGCTAGATATGGAGCTCCGCTAGCAACGTGGGCCTTCATCTAAAAAGAAATATTAAAAATTTCAAAAACAACTCATTCAAAAGGCATCAAAAAATAAATATAAGTAAAAAACGTAAGAAACTAGAAGCAATATTTATAGAAATGGAGCTTACTTGATAATAATATACCAACATAGTGAGTGAATAAAAAGAAAAATGAGGGAGGATAACATCGAAGATGAGGAAAGAGGAGAGCATACGAAGAATAGAAGGCTCTCAACAAACTCACCACGGAATAAGCATGAATTAAAACTAGATATCATAATTGAAATGATAAATGATCAAAAGAACAGTAAAGAGGTAATAGAAACGCTCATCGAAGATAATAAAAAGTTAAAGAAGGAAAACAAAGACCTAAAACAAGAAAATAAAGAAATCAAAGAGGAATTGAAAGAAATCGAGGAGAATATGGAATTTATGAGAAGAGGAAAACAAGAAGTTAATGGTATAGAAAAATATGATCAGAGATTAATAAAAGAGCCGATGCTAAATATATTCGAAACATATGTGGGAATTGAGGTCAAAATCAAAGATGTATACCTTGCAAAGAATTGAGGTCAAAGTTGGGAACAAAAACCTGTCTGATCGAACTAGAAGATCAGGAAGAAAAAATCAAAGTCATGAAGAACAAGTCCAAGCTAAAAAACCACAAGGAAGAAAAAATAATATATAAACAACGACACCACAATGAAAGAAAGAGAAATACAAAAAACTATAAGAATGATTGTACGAGAAGAACCAGAACCTAGTGAACCAGAATGAGAAAGCTATCAAAAATATAAGTAACAGAGGGCAAAAGTAAAAGACACGGAGATTGAAGCGAAAAAGAAGAGCTGGGAGGATTTTGGTGATAAGCTGGAGAAATACTACCACACTAACCAAAATCTATTTTACAAAAGCCTAAGAACAGAGAACAGACAAGAAACACCAAAAACAAATTAAAAATAAGGATGGCCACATCCTCTGCGAGAACGAAAGTATTATGAACAGGTAGAGAGAATATTTCAAAGATTTCCTGACTCAAGAAGACTCTAATAATAAAATACACAACACTGAAGAAAACCCACATGAGAACCCAAATCAAAACCAAATATCAATAGAGGAAATAAGAGAAACAATACTCAGGCTCAAAAGATGAAAGGCAGCTGGCTATGATACGATAACTGCGGAAATGCTAAAAAATATGGAAGAAAATGGAAATGAAATGCTTAGAAAAGTTTGCAATAAAGCATGGAATGAGAGCAAGATTCCAAAAGACTGGGAAGTGGGCGTTATCCTACCCATTTTCAAAAAAGGTGACAGACGAGACTGCAGCAACTACAGAGGTATAACCCTCCTGAGTATCCCTTCCAAAGTTTACGAACGAGAACTGGAGAAAAGACTACTAGAAGAAGTAGACCATAAGCTGGAGTAGTCACAGAGCGGTTTTAGGAAGAGAAGAAGCATCCATGACTATATTTTTTACACTCAAGCAGCTAATACAAAATGCACGAAATACAAACACGGAACTATACAAAGACTTCATAGACCTCTAAAAAGCATTTGATAGAACCTCGCGAACAGAAATAGACAAAAGCCTAAGGAACAGAGAAGTAGAGATCAAACACAGAAAAGCTATCATGAGCCTATACAAGAACACAAGAAACAGAGTAAGAACAGATAATACAGAATCAAACAGAGTTTAAAGTCAATGATGGCTTACGACAAGGAGGTGTACTAGGCCCCAATCTGTTCAATATTGTACTAGATGATGTAATGAAGGAAATTAGAGAAGAAACATCGAGAATATTTGTTGGACATAAAAACCTGGAAATGATACAGATAGCGGAGTGCGCATTTGCAGATGACCTCATCGTATTTGGAAGAAACGAGGACGCACTTAAGAGAAACCTCCAAATATGGAGAGATAAACTTGAAAAACGTAATCTAAGAATTAATGAAAGTAGAGTAGGAGTAGAGAGTAGGGGTACACAAGAAGCAGAGATAAACAATCGAATAACAAACGCTTCCGGGATATACCACGCAATTAAGAGCACATTCCTATCAAAAAAAGAAGTATCAAAAAAGCCAAGCTGGACGATCACCACCAGACTAAAAAATAAACTGCAAAGTATTGCAATGAAGTATCTAAGAAGAGTACTAGGGGTGACCAGAATGGACAGGATACGGAACGAGGAAATAAGAGAACGCCTTAAAGTCCAATCAATAGAGAAGAAAATCGAAGAAGCCCAACTGAGACCGTACGGCTACATGGTAAGGATGGATAAAGAGAGACCAGTGAAACAAGTGTGGGAAGCAAGAAGAATCTTGAAAAGATCGAGGGACATGGGACGATGAAATTGCCGCCATCCTAAACAAGAGAGGAGTTATCAAAGAGCAAGCGAAGAAGTTGGCAAGCAACAGGAAATTGGAGGAAGTTTGTATACGAAACCTAAAAAGAGACTTTACACCCAACACCTTAGGGTAGAAGGGTTATTGATTATGAGAATATAGAGAGATGAGAAAAACATATATTTATTAATTTGGCGTCTACATTAAAATTCATTAAATAAATTTTTTATTTTAATTTACTAATTAGATCATAATTAATTTGATTTTGTTTATGAAATTTCAAAATTAAGTTATCATAATAATATACATATTCTTAAATATGTATAAATAATATATAAAAAATCATAGCTTTTATTTTGTATATTTGTAATTTCTCATTTTTCCTAATATTTATAATAAAATAGAAAATTCTTTTTATTTTTAATGCATCTATCACTCGTATATTATCGGGTGAAATCGATTTCCAGTTCGAATCGCCTTAACCTGTTTCTGAATTTATTTATTAACATGTACGTTTAAATAAATCATAATACTCTCAACTTAAATGCACAAAAAAGTTTTTCGCCTCGGGCGAAAACCGCATTTGCTCCAACAATATTATTTTGACTGCTTATAGAGTGCTATGCAATGCATAGGTATCTGTGCAATGCAATTTTAATACCTTAAAGACTATTATCGCTTATAACCTAGTAGGCTTTGTACCAATGAATATTTGAAATTGTATCACTTGTAGACATTTTGGTGTAGCGGATAATTTGTGCTGTGGCGTCCTTTGAAAATGTCGAAAAATGGTAAGTTTAAACAATTTTACTTTTGTAATTTTACAGTGAAATAAATTAGATATCGATGTCATATAATAATTTAAACAAAATTTGATTTAATTCATAGTAATTTACAGTAAAAAACAAAATAGTTTTTATATATTTGAAGATTTCATTATTACTTCTTGGTTAATAGATTATTTTATCATTGAAAATATTTCATATACAGGTTAATATTATTGTTGCTATTAGTATTTTGATATATATTATCTCTTAATACTGCTTATTGTGATTGAACGCATTTAATATACGGAATTTTGCGACATTAAAATATTAAAATTTCATGTTCTTTATTATGATATATCATTATTCATGTATTTATGTTTAAATTATCGTCTAATTCAGATGAATTCTCTTTCTACAATCTTTGTTCTTGAAAACATTGCAAGATATACTTGCCTATTTTTGATAATTACATTGGATTAGATGTTTATGATAAGGTTATGTATCTCTACGTTTTCATAACGTATGTCTTCCATTCTTTATTAGTCTGTGCTAGGCGCTTTGTTATGTTTTAGACACTTCTTTAGACATACGCTATGAAAACGTAGAAACTTTTTTATTTCTTGGATTTGTCGGTCTTTTGTAAATAAAAATACTTAACTACTGTCGAAACGTTTAAGCAATAGTTAAGTATTTTTATTTACAAGATACCGACAAACCCAGGAAACAAAAAAGTTTGTATTTAAAAATTCTTCTTCTTCTTCTTCTTTTTCTTCTTCTTCCTTCTTTATGTAGGCTTTAAAGCCTGTTTCTTCTTCAATATTAGTCTAATAAATTGTTTAAATTATCGCACCATCTTCTTGTTGGTCTGCCAATACTTCTTCGTCCATTTGGTGACTTATCTCGTGCTATTCGTACTATCCTACCTCTGCCATTCTACTAATGCATTCGTTCCACTCCCGCTTCCGTTTTGTTACCCATCTATTTAGTGATGTAACGAATGTCATTTTTTAAACATTTGCGAATGCGAATGCGAATGCGAATATATGGCACCGACATTCGCGAATGCGAATGCGAATATTCAGTTTTTTTTTAATTTGGCAATTTTAATTGTCTCCGGCACTGCCGGCAGTCTCATTTGCGCGAGGTGTGTAGGCAATTGGAAAAAGTCTGTCATTTTTAACTGCTTTAAATTGTCCAGTATCATTCTATCATATTTGCTAAAGTAAAGATGTGTAACAGTTGTATTTATTGTAAAGAAGTTTATTGTAGGCGGTTAAGTTTATTGAGGGCTCGTTTAAAAAGGTATTTATTTATAGTCACGTCCGGGCCAAAAACGTAGAAAGCAGATTTTCGATCTTATTTTCTCTTGTTATAATCAAATTTGACTTGTTATAGAGAGAAAGTTATAACAGAGAACTAAGTTCTCTGGTTATAGTTCCAATAAAAATTTCACGGGACACAAGTCACTCCACTTGCCCTGCTCTGCTCGTGCACAAATACAAGTGCATTTTTAGTTAAAGTGTGATTAGCTATTTATTACTATGAGTAAATCAAATTATAGTGAAATATGGACTTATTTTTCACCACTTTTCGATACTGAACGAGCTAAATGCAAGCTGTGTAATATTCGCAAAACATTCGCACAAATTTTGCGAATGCGAATGCAAATGCGAATATGCAAAAATATGCGAATATTCGCGAATGCGAATGCGAATGCGAATATTCGTTACATCACTAATCTATTTCATCACCAGTTGGCGCTGCAGCCCTTCGTGAGCATTGGCCTGCTTTAAAACATTCTTCCATCCTTTCAAGTTTGCATTTTGTTGCTATTGACATACTTCTCGCGTTACCGCTGACTAACAGCGGTTAGCCAAGCATATTATTTTTTTTTATCTCGTTG